GCTTTATAGCTAAGTATTTCATTCTTGGGGGTGCTAATGTGTTACTGTGTTTTTAATTTCACATTTACCTTGCTCATTACTGGTATATAGGAAAGCATTTAATTGTTTTGTATTAACCTTGTATCCTGCAGTCTTACTATAATTGCTTACTAGTTCCAGTAGGGTTTTTTTTTGAGTGATTCTTTCGGATTTTCTACCTAGATGATCATAGTATTCCAGTCTTTCTTTGTCTTTCTTTACCTTGACATGTTTAAAGTATACTGGACAGTTATTTTGTAGTTTGGGTTTGTCTGATGTTTCCTCATGATTAGATTTAGGTTATGAGTTTTTATAAGGAATGCCTTGGTAGTGATCTTTTGTCCTATTACTGGTGAAATTAACTTTGATCATTTAGTGTTTGCCAGATTTCTCCACTGAAAGGTACTATTTTCCCCTTTGTAATTAATACATATTTTGTGGGAAACTGCTTTGAAGCAATATAAATGACATATTTCTCTTCAGATTTCATCCATTAGTTTTAGCTTCTTTCCATTTATTTATTAGTTTCAGCATTCCTTGATGATGCATCCCTGAATCATTTTTTATTATAATGGTTTTGTTTTGTGAATTATATTCATAATTTTCAAATGTTAACTCTTGCTTTTAGAATAAACCCTACTTGATTGTAATATATTTTTCTTTGTCTATCACTGGATTTGATTTACTGATATCTTATTTAGGGTTTTATATCTGTCTTCATGAGAGAGTGCTTGGTAATATCCTTCCTTAAATGTCGTTATCAGGTTTAGGATCAGTTATACTGACTTCATAAAATGAGCTGCAAAGTGTTCCTTTTATTTTATTTTCTGGGAAAGTTTAGGTAAATTTGTTGCTGTATTTTACAAGTTTGAAAGAAATTATGGGAGAAGCCTTCTGGGTCTGAGTTTCTCTTTACAGAAAGATTTATAATAATTCAGTTTCTTTTATTGACAGCAGTGTTCAAAAATTTTTTTTCTTGTGTCAGTTTGGTAATATCTGTGCCCTCATAGGTGTTTAAGTTTGCTTTCTCTAGTCAACTAAGTCAGTTCCTACCCATCCATCAAATTTTCACCTTTCATCAGTTTAGTTACATCTCTCATCTGCTATTATCTTCTTTCTGGGTTCATTTTGTTCTTATGGGTTTCTGCTTTTTACCCCTCTTTCCATTACTGTCATTTTACTGGAGGGGTATGGAGAAAAATGCATATATTTAATTTACGATGCTTAACTGGGATCTCTCTTTAACCTTTGTATTTCCTTTCAATTTTGTAAGTACAGTATAGTGGACATAATTTTCCATTCTGATTCTTAGGAGTGTCAACCATAACAGGATATTGAAGTGTGTTGATACTCTCAAGGACTTTTGAGGGTTCAGAGTTTTTGTCCTTAGTGCAAGTTGTCCTAAAATTTATGTTTTTAGAATTTGCTTGCTTTTTGTAATTTATTTTTTCTCATTGGCAGTTATCACTTTCATGAGGTTATTTTTCTTTCATCTGTTAATTTATAGCTTCTAATCTGTCAATTAGGAAATCCTGTGATTACACTTGTTAGAACTGTGTGTACGGAACCCTGCTTCTTTAGAGCGTACACAATATAAAATCTCTTGACTTTTCACTGCTTAGTGGCCTTTTTTGTTAACTTGCCTGACTCTCAGTGATGGATAGAGTCTTTATAGACAGTAATCATCATAGTTTATTACCTTTTCTGTGTTGGTAGCATAACTTAAACTTAACCCTTTCTTTTTTTAAAAAACAGGTTCATTTTACATTTGATTTTTGAAAATTGGGGTGGGGGATAACTTTAGATTTATAGAGAAGTTTCAAAGATGTTAGAGAGAGTTTCTGTATACCATTTACCCATCTTCCCCTAAAGTTCCCAACTTAGATAATTGTAGTATGTTTGTCAAAAACTAGGAGATTAACATGGGCATAACACTATAGCCTAAACTACAGACTTGACTTGGATTTCACTAGTTATTTCATTAATGTCCTTTTCCTTTTGCACAGTCCAGTCCAGGACACCACATTGCATTTGGTTGTCATGCCTCCTTAGTCCCCTCTGATCATGACAGTTTCTTTATCTTCCCTTATTTTTCATAACCTTGACAGTTTTAAAGAGTTCTGGTCAGGAATTTTGTAAAATATTCCTCAATTTGGGTTTATCTGATGTGTTCTTGTGACTAAACTGGCATTGTGGGCTTTTGGGAAGAAGCCACAGAGCTGAAGTCGCATGTTCATCACATCATGTTAAGTATGCTATGAATAAGACATCACTTCTGATGTTAACTTTGATGATCACTTAGCTGAGATAGTGATTGGTAGGTTTCTCACTGTCAGTTTACTTTTTTCCTTTTTCTATAGTTGACTCTTTGGAAGTGAGTTACAAAGGTCAGCATATACTGAAGGGAAAGGGAATTCAGTTCCATCTCTTAGAGGAGAGTTTGTACATGTATCATTTGGAATTCTGTAAGGAAGATGTGTCCCTTCTCACCATTTATTTATTTATTCAATTATTTATATCCATGTGGATTCATGAATATTTATTTTATTAAGGAGAATTATAATTCATATCATCATTTTTTTAAAAAAACGCCTTCTTCCTTTCTGGCCCTACATAATACTCCAGGCTTATCTTGTATTTTTCCTGCGTCATCTCTAGAATCAGTCATTTTTCCTGGGAGCTCTGGCTCCTTGTATTGGAGAATGGTATTTAGAAAATAAGATCTGGTTGTAGGTATGCTTGTTGCTACTGGGGTATCACTGCTTCTACACCTTCTGAGGACAGACCCTTAGCTCTGTATACTAACCCATGGAACAGCATATCTATATTCGTGTCTGTATCTATTAATCTGTATGTGTATCAAATAAAAGTTGGTACTGATATCTCTTCCTCTAATCTAGCACCACTAGAACGAACAGTTCATTCTAGCTTTCCTCTCTTGTTTTTTTCATAACTTCTTTTTCTGAAAGGGAGACACCTTGCTCCTATTATCTACTATTTACTTACTTATATTTACATTATACATGTAAAGAAGTTTCAGATTTACTCATGATGACTTGTTTCCTCCTGTTTCATGATATTTTGGATTGTGAACTCATTTTTTTTGGAAACGTTTTTTGAGGCATTGAAATTTTACTTTTTTTAGAGAAGATTTATATTTGATTCTGCTAGTCATTTAGAGGTTTTGGTGATTGTTTTTTTGCCTTTACAAACAGTTTTTTACTGTGGAAAAATATACGTAACATAAGATTTATTGTTTTAACTGTTTATAAATGTACAAGCGTAGATTGCCATTAAATACATCCATAATGTTGTGCAGCCATCACCACTATCCATTTCCAGAACTTTTTCATCATCCCAGACAAAAGCTCTGTACCCATTAAAAAGTAACTCTACATTCTCCTCTCCCTCCAGTCCCTGGTGACCTCTATTCTACTTGCTCTCTGCATTTGCCTATTCTAGTTACCCATATAAGTGGAATCATACAATCTTTGTCCTTCTGTGCCACTATTGCACTCATTGTAATGTTTTCAGAGTTCATCCATATTGTAGCATGTGTCAGAGTTTCATTTCTTTATGGCTAAATAACACTCCTCTGTATGTGTGTGTGAACACAGCATATTTTGTTTATCCATTAATCTGTTGATGGATATTTGGGTTGTTTCACCTGGCTCTTGCGAATAATGCTGCTGTGAACATTGGTGTACAAGTGTCAGAGTCCATGCTCTCAGTTATTTTGGGGTATATATCTAGAACTAGGATCACTGGGTCATAGGGTAATTCGTGTTTAACTTTTTGAGGAGCTGCCAGACATTTTCCACAGTGGCTGCACCATTTTATATTCCCACAAGCAATGCGTAAGAGTTCCGATTTCTCCTCATCCTCACCAACACTTATTATTTTCCATTAAAAAAAAACAGCCATTCTAACGGGTGTGAAATAGTATCTCATTATAGTTTTGCTTTGCATTTCCTTAACATCTGGTGATATTGGGCATCATTTCCGTGAGACTGTTTTAATTATGGGCTTTTCTGGGCCACATAGGTTATGAAAATTCTGGTACCAAACCTGAGTGATTATGAGCTGATGTTTAGGAATTCCCTAAACATGGGGTGGAGAGATACACTTTATTTGTCATTATTAGTTCACCCCCAAACCCAGAGCCAACGGCAAGATGTCATAATTATCCCTACTGTCTCTTTCTTCAGTAAGCTTCTTTTTTCTCCCCCCCCCCCGCAACCCAGCTCACCCAATTGGATTGTCACCCTTCAGGTCTTCTGGTCTATGATCTGACCTTTCATTTTACTGAGCCTCCAAACCTGGTCTTCCCAGCCTCTAGGCCTCAGGTGTTTGTCATATGGCTCAAAAACAAATGACAGCTTCAGAACTTCATTTATTTCTCAGGTTCCCACTTTATAGCTGTTTATGGCTTCGGGGTATTTCAGGCATGCACTTAAAATTTTTCTTAAACTCATCGTGAGCGTGTTTGGTGTTCTGATCTGGAGAGTTATTTCTAACATTGAGTTCACCCTGATGCTAACACAGAAAACCCTGGTTTGTCTCTTTTCTGCTAAAAGGCAGAGATGATTGGCTGAGGTAAAGAAAAGGCTGGTGGTCTGGATTTAGTTCTCATAAATAAGGCAAGCAAATTAACAGGTACTAGTTTCTAGAACCAGTGATCAAATACGGTGGAGATGCAGGGTTGATTTTTATGTATTTCATATTCATGTATCCCCATCCACATTTTTATTATATTTTACTGATTTGAGCTTTTTTTCTGTAGCAAACTCACACATATGGATGAGTGTAAATTAGCAAAAACAGATTTTAATGTGTTCTTTTTCTCTTTAGAGGAAATAATCAAAAGGCAAGCAAATTAAAAGAAAATCCTGACTAAGCAAAGAGTTTGGGAAATGCTCAATTTTATTTTGTATTGAATGGCTCTATTAATGAATACTTATCTGAGTTTGTTTTTATTTCAGCGTTGGCTAGATCAGAATCTAAAAGAGATAGAGGTTTTAAAAGAAATTGGAGCTTTGATCATGGAGAAGAAAGTGAAGGAGATACAGATAAAGAGTAAGAATGTTTTTTTCCCCCTCAGATGTTTTATAAGAATGAAACTTTTCATTAGATAAACAATTTTATTCCATGGAAATATTTTTAAGAGTATGGTATTCTTAAGAAAACATTGAACTCTTTTACAGTAGCATTAAGGAAATAAAAAGCAATTTTTTTATTGGTATATAATTTTGTGGTTATATTTCTTCATCTTTTGAAATGTATAAATATATGCATATAGTACATGTAACCTTATAATTAAAAGTTGACCTGGGCTTCCCTGGTGGTGCAGTGGTTGAGAGTCCGCCTGCCGATGCAGGGGACACGGGTTCGTGCCCCAGTCCGGGAAGATCCCACATGCTGCGGAGCGGCTGGGCCCGTGAGCTATGGCCGCTGAGCCTGCGCATCTGGAGCCTGTGCTCCGCAACGGGAGAGACCACAACAGTGAGAGGCCCGCGTACAGTAAAGAAAAAAAAAAAAGGCGACCATACTACAGGATTCCTATTAAAGAAATTGTTCTTTAAAAATAAAAAAATACGGCATTCTGTTCACGTAGTGATTTGAGAAGCCACCATTTATCAGGAGTAAATGAACCCACATTATGATTCCTGAAATTTGTAAGAAAGTTTAGTGTCTTTCTTTCCAGTTGTGACTCACCCTGCCCCCCACCACATTCATCTTAGATTGCTAACAGAGAAAGCAGAAACCCTGTAAATGATAAACACAGGTGTTGACCCAGACAGACGTTAAGCAAAGCGTTCATTACACTTTGTTAATGTACTTGGAATGACTGCTGTAACTTTTTAAATAGTTTTAATAGAGCCTTTTGCGTGTCATGAGATTCGTATTACAAATTTAGTATGGCTATTAGTTTCTTAGTTTACTGATCTGGTTTTCCACTGGCCAGAACAAACAGCAAATTAAGAGACACAAATATATACACTAACTTCTACCGAAACTGCAAATATTTTTTAGAAATTTTACACAAGAAGTCATTCAGAGTATATTGGCTAAATATTGTAGGTGCTTCACTTCTGTCTGGGCAACAGCTCCGTTCATCATTACCACTTTATGTGCCTTCACCTATGAGATGTTGAACTGAAGTGAAGTTTTATTTGAGGGAGAGCTTTGAACTGGTAAGTTTCTCACTCGAAATTGGTATTTTATGGTTTTCTTTCTTTCATTTCTTTTTATTTCTGATTATATTTTATAACAGACATTTGTTATTTATGTAGTTTTGAAAAATTGGAATTAAATCTGAAATTGAGTAGACCGCTTGTAAACGTTAAAAAGTATCCCACCTTTTTTTTTTTTTGTGGTATGCGGGCCTCTCACTGTTGTGGCCTCTCCCGTGAGGAGCACAGGCTCTGGACGCGCAGGCTCAGCGGCCATGGCTCACGGGCCCAACCGCTCCGTGGCATGCGGGATCCTCCCGGACCGGGGCACGAACCCATGTCCCCTGCATCGGCAGGCGGACTCTCGACCACTGCCCCACCAGGGAAGCCCAGTATCCCACCTTTTAAGCATTTTTGTAAAATGTTTGCAGGACAGAATTTTTAGCATTAAAAAAGTTGGGATGTATACAAACAATAATGAAACAAACATTTTACATTTTTGTTATAAATAGCTAAGATTTTATTAAAAATAGCTTAGCAGAATTGTCTTCAGAAGGGTGTATTTTGACTTTGTTAGAAGATTTGTCATGATTATATATTAAAAAAATGTGTCTTTTAAGGTGCTACCTGTCCTGTATGTTTCACTTATGAATTGTACTCTTTGGTTTATTACTATGTTCAGATTAACATGAACTGTTAATAGATATATCGGTTTTTTAGAATCAGGTCAATGATTCTCAGTAAAGGTTTGATATTTCCCACAATGGTAGAGGTATAACTATTTTATTGGGTTAATACCATTGCAGTTACTTTCTTTTCATTAACTAAAGTTTTCTTACCAGTATGTTTCTTTCCCTCTACTTTGTTTTTCAGCCCCTTTCCCCTAATTTAAAATCCAAGACAGAAAGGAAAAATGAGTGACTATTTATGAAATCCATAGTTAAGAAAAGCAAAACTATGTGTTCATTAATGGCAGAGGTCAGGAAACAGTGGCGCATGGGCCCAGACTGGCCCACCCCTGGATTTTTGTTATAGTTTTTTTGGAACACAGCCACACAGATAGTCTGTGGCTACTCTCATACTACAGTGGCAAAGCAAAGCGGAGTAGTTGCTGCCAAGACTGTATGGCCTGCAAAGTCTAAAATATTTACTCTCTGGCCCTTTACAGAAAAAGTTTGCTAATCTCTATATTAGGTGACGACAGAGGCTAAAACTTCTGAATTTAATGTATGGGTTGTAATTGTCACTTAAGGCTTTTTCCCCTTTATTTTCTGTGTAGTGAGGCAAATCTGCTCAGTGTAGATGAAGATGAGGATTCTGAAACCTCAAAAGGAAAAAAGGCAAGTGTTACTTTTTATTTTTATTTATTTATTTTTTTAGGTTATATACTAAAAACTAAAGCTTCAAAAGAAGAGTTGTATTTTTGATTGTAAGCCCCAACCACCCACTTTCCTACCCCAAAGGCAAATGATATTCCCAGTTTCTTGTTTATCCCATCAGAAGTATTTTATTTATCACAAAGAAAATATATATTCTCGCCCCACCTTTTTTTTTTTTTTTTTTTTTTTTTTTTTTTTTTC